TTTGCGTCAGGGTCGGACTCGGCAACGTGCCGTAACGTTGGCTTAGGTGAGTAATATCGCTTCTCTCTCTCTCTGTGTGTGTGTGTGTGTGCGCGCCAGAGCTATTCACCGCCACTATTCTTACACACGTCAGCATACCCGACGAGAATAGGCGTCCCGCCAATGTGTGCGTGCGACTGAACGCGCTCGCGATACGCCGTATCGTCGTGGTGTACGTTACTTTCCTTGTAAAGTCGGCTATTTTTAATCCCTCTCGTCCCGCGGGATGCCGGGTATCGATGTCGGGGTAGGGGAGGGGGGGAGGGGAGCGAAAGTTATCCGACATCATCAAGTGCACAGATTCGCGTCGGAGGCGCGCATCGATAGAGGGGGACGGAGGTAGCAACTTGAAATCGTTCCAAGTTTATCGTTTATCATGCACCGCGGATTCGCGGAGAGCTGCTTCTCGAGCGGAAGCGCGACTTGCTCGAAAGTCAGCTTGCGATATCTGCACGTCGCGCGATCGTGCGATCCGTGATGACCGACGGTGATCATCCGCGATCGCTCGTGCGCGGTTCTCGACGTTCGCGCGGCGATTGAAATCCGCTTTGATCATATCGAGCGCGTCGCAAAATTCATCGGCGCATCTCGCGATCGCACAGCAAAGTGTCATGACGCGCGCGCACTATTGCGTGTTCCTCGGGAGGAAGTGGAAAAAATACAAGAGACGAGGTGCCTCACGGACGATGTTTTTGAGGTAGGTTAGTAACGCCGTAATTGTCACGGCGCGGGCGCGGGCGGCGTGTTACGTACTCTCGCTTGTCGCCGCGCCGCGAGCTTCAGCCTACGCAGACTCGCGCGCGAGCTTTTCCGTTTATTAACGGCTCCGCTACATTGCGCGTCGCCGACGACGGAGATGAAACGCGATCGCGCCCGAGGCTGGACCGCGCCGCGGCGCGTTGCGAGATTTAGGTGCGGCCGAGAGCGAGCGAGCGAGCGAGCGAGCGAGCGAGTTGACAAGCAAGCAGCCGCGCCTGGCCAAGTCCGCGGCCAGCTGCTGGCGCATGCCGATCGATGGCGAGAAGTGCAACGTGGCAGTCGAGCAGCGGCTCCAACGATGAATTAGCAGCGCGCCTCGGCGATTCTCGACGTATACGTGTGTGCGGCGCGTGTATCGATTCGTCGCGCGACGCGCTCTCGCCCTTCGTGCAGCTGCGAGATCCGTCTGCCCGATGCGCGTCTCCGGAAATGACGGAGAGAGCAGCGCCAGCCATGTGTACAATATTATTCCCGCCGAGAGACAATGATTGAGCTTTTGCCGCCGCGCTTCTTCTTCTTCTTCTTCTTCGCGGCGGCGGCGGCGGGCGATCCGAATTTGCTGCGCGCGCGACTTTGCTCCGCGCGTGGCCCGGCGAGCGAGAAAATCGCGCTCTGGAAATAAAGCGGGTATTTTCATCGCGTTTTCTCTCTCTCTCTCTCTCTCTCTCTCTCTCTCTCTCTCTCTCTCTCGCTCGTCTCGCGAGTGCTCTCTGCATCGTGCAGAGACGAGCGCGCGACGGTCGAATTTAGCCGCAGAGTTTAGGCGGAACGCGATCCCGTCTCCGACTCGGCAGCGTCGGAAAGAGAGAGAGAGAGAGAGAGAGAGAGAGAGAGAGAGAGAGAGAGAGAGAGAGAGAGAGAGAAAGCGAATTTCTCAAGCTTTTCGGGGCAATTAATTCGCGCGCCCTGGGAATCGATCGGGCCGGCGCGCCATGCAGCGCGTCGAAGACAAATCGACCTCGCTCGCGTCGTGCCGGAGGTCGGCTCGATCGCCGCGCGCGGCTCTTTCGGCCTGCCGACGCGCCGCACCTTGCCCTGTGACGCGCGCGTGAGAAACGATGACGACGACGACGAGGACGACGACTACGGGAGGTGACGTCGGCGGTAGATCCCCTGAGTTGGCCTAGGTTAGTAACACCGTCCGTTGGCGCCGCTTGCTCTATTCTTACGCGCGCTCCCTTGTACTTAACACATTGTCGCCGGCGCGACGCGCGACGCGCGACGCGTTGAGCAGGCGGACGCGAGAAAAAGAAAGAGAGAGCAGCTCTCGCACGTCGAAAGGTCGCCGCGTAGATATTTCACGTTCGTCATTTCATCAGGATGTGGTCTCAGAGGGGGTAGTTTAATTCGCGCCGATAACATGCCTGCTCGTGTGTAATCACCGTGGCGTTTGATTCCGATTTACTTCACGGTCTATCGGTCACGCTTAGGTTAGGCTTAATTGCATATGGGAACAAATGCGTCGCGGCGCGCGACGCGCATTCGTGCGCACGAAGAAAGAAGAAAGCGAGCTTTTGTGTGTCTCACTGCCGAGTAGAGTCCCCGTCGGCGCTCGCATAATACGTTCACGTCCACCGCGTGACAGGTCGGCGCGCGACGTGGTGTCAAAGTGCAATTTACTTACACGAGGCCGTATATACTCGCGCGTGGGCGGCACGCGAGACGTGGAATTTTCTCCCGCTCGACGAAGGAGTCCCAGCGAGAGCACGCAGGTTTGAGAATTTCACGAGGATTTACGAGGAGACAACGGACAGAGGGAGAGAAATAAACGGAAATATCTCTCGAGGGTAATTTTGGAAGCTCTTGAAAGTTGCGTTTGTTGCAGTCGAGACGCAACGGAATCGGCTGGCGGTTCGCGCAAATAACGTCTCCGGATAAATTAATTACGCTTTCAGATCGCTCGCGCGCGCGCGCGGTCGAAGCGATAGCGAGGTTCGATATATCGCGCCGCGTACACGCGATGCATTTTCCTCGGCGTGTACTTGCTTACAAGCGCACGTTCGTGGCAACGCTCGCAAATAATCGCCGGATATATCCGGCGAATTGATCGCAGCGGGGGTGGCTCGAGAAAACTGACTCTCGCGAGCTCATGCGAAGATGCAATATTGTGATCGGCGGCGGGGTAATCGAAAGAATCGCGCGCTCGGCTGAGCTTGTGCTTGCAACTCGCGGCGTTTACTTCATTCCTTGCTAGCTGCGTTCTTTCAACGAGGCGTCGAGCTCTGTGTTATTAGTCGGACGTTTCTCAATGAGATCAGCGGCCAAGACGCGCGCGCAACGCCGCCGCGGCGGCAGCGCGAACGGTATCGGTAGTGCGGTAAACCTTCGCTGCCGGATAAATATACGGTATTATGTAAGCTGTTTGCAAGCCAAGAAACGAAGAGAGAACCGCTCTGCAAATGCGCGCGGCCGGCTTATACGCGCGCGTATTGCGCAATAATCGCCGCCTTCGCTCGCGTGCACCGCTGGCTTTTCATTATCCATTTGCACGTCGCGACGTGGAAAACGACGAGAAAAGCGCGATTTAGCGTGGGCGGGGGGGGGGGAAAGGACATTTCGTCAAGCATGAGCGAACGACGATCCAGCTGGTTCCCTTCCCCGCGAAGGGACGAGAGAGGAGGATCCGACGCGCGAGATCGCGCTCGCGCACTTTCTACCGCGATTACCGACGTTAAGTCTTGATAACCGGGGTCGCTGAAGCTCCCTCCCTCCCTCCCTCTCTCTCTCTCTCTCTCTCTTTCTCGTGGAAAAGATAAGCCTCCAGCCGACTCGCCGACTGCACGGCTATCGCACGTGCGCGCGCGAATAAACGCTGCTCCAGCCGTCGGCCAAGTTAAATAAAACTAGCCGAGCCGCGTAAAGCTTAATCCGCCGACTGATCGACGTCGCTTCGAGCGATACCAATTACCGCGCAACAACGCTCACGTGCATGTGTGTTCGTCCGTGTTGGTTCTCTGGTTAACAGGATGGCTCGTAGTCGCGCGCGCGCGCGAGCCTTTGCCTCTTGCTCGGCGATCCCATCGCTTAATAGCCCCCTGGAACGCTCTACAATGGTGATTAATTTTCAATTGATGCCTCCGCCGTCCGCCTCCGCTCTTTTCCCACCCTGCGGGAAACTGTCAGCGCGCGCGACGCGCGCGCGCTTGACGGCCGCCAAACCAGCCGACCATTATCCCGTCGCGTCGTGGTCGTCGTCTGTCTATCGCTTTTTTCTATCTCGTCGTTCTTTGGGAAATCGAAATGCCCCACCGCCCCCTCTGCCATTTCGTCGTATTGTTGCCGAATAAAGGGACGGTCGCGCGAGCGCGCGCACGTTTGCCCGCTCTCGCTGGCTGATCGTCGTAGCTGCACAACGTTTCTCTCTCTCTCTCTCTCTCTCTCTCTCTCTCTCTCTCTCTCTCTCTCTCTTTCTCTTGTGTGCCACGCTGTCCCCGGTGGCAGCCGCTCCTCCGCCGGCCTGTTCGGATTTCGAGACAGCCAGCGAAACGGTAACGATTCACGATCAGCCGCGACAGCTGTTAATGCACCACGATGAATTCGATTTGACGACCGGCGGAGGGTGAGAGAGAGAGACAGAGAGAGAGAGAGAGAGAGAGAGAGAGAGAGAGGAAAGAGCGAGCGAGTCTCCCAGGAGGAGAGAGGCCCCTGGGCGGAAACTACTGCTTGATTGCGTACGAATGTGACGCGATTTCATGGGTTTCGTCGGGAAGGAAGAAAGCGCGGGAAAAGGGGAAGAGAAAGAGAGAGAGAGAGAGAGAGAGCGAGAGGAGGAGGAGGAGGAGAAGGACACGGTCGGCAATCGTCGACGGTGTCGAGGTGGAGGTACGACGAGGGTGCGAGAATAAGCGCGAGGAAACGCGACGCTCGCTCGCGTTCCGTTCCTCCCTCTCGGCAGGATCGACAGGTTCAAAGGGATCCTAGGAGGACCGGATTTTCTCGTTTGAGGAGCGTGCGACGTGAGCCTTCAGACGATTTCTCGAGCGTGTGCGGGTCACGTCGGTACCGTGAGCGAATACGTCAGCACTCGGCAGCGTTGATTTACCCCTCGTCGGATGACATGGTCGTGGTGTCCCATAAATACGATAAGGAGTGAACTCGGCCCGGCCGGCGGGGGGGGGGGGAGGAGTTGGTTGGTCCTTCCTGGCCATTGAAACGGCCGAGATCATTTAACGGGCGCTTTGGAATAATCGAGTCGATTGGGGTGATTTTTCAAAATTGCTGTGTTTATATTTCTGGTAAAGTCACGTGACTACATGCGTATTTGATGTAGGGATGTTTTGGGTATATTTGTAAAAGCATATCCTCGATCGTCGTAGGGCCAATCAATAGCAATCGCATTCGCACTTTCTGACGCACTCGCCATTCTTGTTCCGCAGGTAACCGTCCTTGCAGAAGCATCCCTTGACGCAATGCTGGAAAGAAAAAAGAAAGTAGGGGCCATCGGAGGTCACACGATGACACCGATTCATTTTCTATCTTAGGCGGGCTTCTTCCTGACTAAACATTTCATTTCGACTCTTATCTTCTTCTGTCTCTTTCTCTCGGAGAGCTTCTTGAATATTAGAAGAGAGAAATAATCGTACGCGGTTGGTTGGTTGGTTGGTTGGTTACTCACCTTGTCATGGCAGACGGGCTTAGGATCCTTGCAAGACGCTTGAACGGAAGGTCCGCACTTGTATTCCTCGTTCTTGCCGCATTTCTTGATGGGAATGAGATTCTTAGGCTTAATTGGGAGTCCGGGATCGCTCATGGCAGCTGCGGGGGAGAGAGAGAGAGAGAGAGAGAGAGAGAGAGAGTGTGTGTGTGAGATTTAGCATTAGCAATGTTGCATACTTGTGAATATTTACACGTGTTCGAAAGAACTTGCCACAATCATGGCGCGTTTTTCGATACCCGAGATTTAAATAGCCGTTTCCCATATATAGATTTGTTTCCTAGCAGAGTTTATCGGCGAATATGTTTCACATGCAAATGTAGCCTCGAGTGTTTTACATGATTCAAATCAGTTTTGTTCAGAGACGAGCTACATCTATATACTTACTGGCGCAGATGACCGCCACGAGGAGGAAGAGAACCAACAGATTGCGAGACATGTTGAAACGAGTTTTTCTTGTCGCTTGCTGCTGCTAATTGCTTGCTGCTGAGTGCTTCGAGATTGATGCAAGTCGTTAGTCGGCCTCGTCTTTTATACCAAAATCTATCGCACGTCGTTTCTATTTTCGTACAGTTGCGTTTCAGTTTTCTCAGATACATAGTGCTGTGACAACAAAGAAATCAAAACTGTGGCTCTGCGCGCTGCAGTTGCCACAAGTGCGCGACGTTGATATTCGCATTAAGACATAAACCAACCGCCGTACGTGGGAAACGTGTTTTTCTCAAAAACGTCTCTTCTTTCTCCACCTCATCGCACATGATGAAAAGCACGTGCCGATTATTTTGAGAGTTAACAAAAGCAGACTTTCACGAACGGTGCAATTGTAAAAATAGAGATAACTGTTACAAAACATCCTCATGTCGCGGGATTATCGATATTCGTATCGTGTGAGATTTTTAATTTGTTTTTAATATTTTGTATTTCTTTTATTTCGCGCCAACTTTTCGGCGGCCACGAATAGCGTCAGCCAAATTGATCTTATCTGCTTTTGCCGCTATTTACGATTTTTTTTTTTTTCCACTGGAAGTTTTTATCATTCCAAACATGTGTATCGCGTCTACGGCTATATGAATATTTTTTCACCATGACAGCCGGATATACAACCACGATGACCTTTTTTTATGTTGCACGGCTTAATAATTTGCGATTGCGATAAATCAGGTTACTAGCATTAATGTGCCAGTTTCACTTACAGTCGTGAACGAAGTATAATTACATTAACGTTTTTTTAATTTTACGCTGATGTTTGCGATTTGAATAAATTTGTCGGTATTCGCACTGTCGAATTTCACACATTGCCGCGTGCGTCACCCTTGCAGTTACCAATTTGAAATCTTATGCCATGTATTGTGTATGTATTATACATGGCACACTGATAGAAAAATATAATTGAATTAACTAATCTCACTATATTTTATAGTTCATTTTGGCGTCAACCATATTTTTATAGTTCGTGGAACCTGCAAAATACAGTGGAATGAACACAAATGCATAGTCAATGATTGTCTGAAATAATTGTTTAGTTACTTTTACCACATATATGGTAATTTCTCATTCACAAATATAGTGAGATTTAATATTCATACAGTTACATCTGTCATCATTTAGCAAATATTCTGGTAATATCGACTATATAAAAGAGTTACTTTTTCCTACCATTTTATATTTATATCCATACAATAATTTTAGTTTAACTTACTATAATTCTTAGTAGAAATATTATATAGTTGGTTATACTATGCCTGTATCGTAATTATCACCGATATTATCGCAATACTTACTATAAATATGATATTTCGAACTACAATTTAGTTACTATATCATTATAGTTCCAAATATCGTATACTTTTCTCTCTCAGTGCACACAGTAACAGCCTCATATATGCGCGCAAATGTATGTCTATCGCGTTTCTCTAACGAGTTAAAATTCTTAAGAAGGAATCTTTCGATGAATTTTTACATTCATCTTTCTACTTCCGTTTTTATCGCGCTCGAAAACACGTGTGTGTCGCATAATAATTATCGCGAGAGTAAAGATTCTTCAGTCGTATCTTGATTTTTTTTTTTTTTTCTTTCTTTCTCCGAAGCGACATCAAACTCTGTGTGTTGTGTAAAGGTCGGCATCGTGTCATTCGGCTCGAAACGCGTCCCGTTAACCTGCTGTTGCGGAATTGTTACTCGCCGCAGTGTAGGACGATGAGTGCGTCCGCGTCGTTCGTCTCTTTGTCTCGTTAACGTACTGCCGGGATCTGGCCGCACTATTTTACTAGCCTGCTATTTTGGGCGCAGCTGGTCCCCGTTGGTCCTTTCGTCGTTTCGACGACAATGGGACACGTGCCGCGCAGGGGACAGGCAAACTGCGTTTCCTAGAGCTACGATATAATCGGCGTATAAACTGCCGCTGCTGCATTTTTAAACGTCCTCCATCGATCAGTAGTGTCTTTTGTCGGTCGGACACGTCGCAGGATACCGTTGCGAAACGCGCGATTAAATAACAGGCTGTTGTCGGTAGGACATACTTTCTTGGCCGAGTTCTCTGCCAGTCGAAAGTAACGCGAGTTCTTCACGAGCGCAGGGGAGAGCAATTAAACAGAAGCGCAGAGGAATGAAAATCTTTCCTACACTCAGAAACGATATTTCACCTCCGACAACACCCTCCCCTCTTCCTGGGGAGGGGCAGCCACTTTGATCTCCCGTCGCTCAATTTCGATCGCGGCGGCCCTCGCGTTCTCTCTCTCTCTCTTTCTCTCTCTCTCTCTCTCGCGCGCGCGCGCGCGCTCGGTATTGCTTAATTAAATTATGCATTTGATTTAATGTACATTTCTAATGCACATTAACGTCCGTCGAACGGTCTTGCCGAAGCGATCGTTCCGCGCTATCCGTCCGGGTAATCTCCTTAACGAAGAATCCACCCCTCTCGCTGTCATACGGAGGAGGAGGAGGAGGAGGGATATACTACTTCCTCGCTAAATCCAATAAGCGGCTATCGGATACGCTTGTCTACTCTCCCGAGAGATGAAATTCGTGACCAACGCGGATCGCGGGACGAGGGGCGCTCAGTACCGGAGACGCAGACGGAGACGGAGACGAAGACGAGAGAACGAGAGAAACAATTCCATTCTCTCCTCCGACCGGAGTCGTCTCGTCCGTTCGGCCGGCGGAGAAGAGTCCCGCCGGGTTGAGGTCGGGACGAGTGGCAGGTGCGGCCCGTTTCTAGGATCGCCAGTGTACCGGGATCCTTAATACGGTATTTCATCGGTCATAATCCTCCCCCCTCGCGGGGGACGTTTCCCTTTGTCCTCGACGAATGAAAGTGGTGCATGATATCGATGGCTATATCTCTCTTCTCCCTCGAACGCACGCCCCTCCAGAGACCGGAACGGGGAGGACACGTGTCTCTGTGTGTGCGTCTGTATGGGTAGGGGGGGGGGATGGAAATGGTGGACGCGTTTCGCAAAGTCGCGCGCGAATCGCACCACGTGCGAATCGCCGTTCGTTACTCAGTCAATCGCTGGGTGTTGATGCGAATCGTCGACGCGTGCCGGAGTCTGCGCGATCGACGAAAGTGCGTTCCGCGAAAACAATTGAGATTACGCCGCGCGTGTAAAACATTACGGAGCTGGTGCAAAACGCTTAGCGATCCCGTTCCTTTCTTTTTCAGCGCCGACGGAGCGATGTAACTCTGCGGGTTTTTCACAATCGCTAAGCTCGAGCGTCGGCATTGAGTGACAGGTTAAATCTCGCTCGAGCGTGATGAATATGAAGTTTCTTTCCTTCTCTTTTTAACCAAGTACGAATTGCTCAGTAACGCACATTGTGGAAACGAGACGTGTTCGGCGATGCATTTTTTTTCAGCGATACGCCAAGGGCGTTTCTTTTTTTCGCGTTAACGTGTAATGTACACACTTTTGCTCGTCTTGCTTCCGTGCAATTTCGAGAAGCGGCGGATAAGTGAGAGAGAAGGAGAAAAAAGAACCGCAAGGAACAAGTATTCGAATTAATAGCAAAGTTTCCCCGCAAGTTGTCCGTGCGAGGCTAAGCGAGAGCCTAGGGGAGGGGGGGTGGGCGGTGGAGACTCGGGCGTCGGCGACGGAGAAGACCCGAAACCGATCAGAGAGATGCGATTGAAAGAGAGAACTCTCTCTCTTGCTTCTCTCCATTCACTTTGGAACTGCGAAACTTTCCCGACGACCGTCGCCTCTGCTCCAACTGCCCTATCCGTGCCGCACGGCTTCTTTGTCCCCCCGAGCAGTCCCGTCGCTTCGCCGCGCGCCGAAATCCCGCGGAACAAAGCTATTCCGGTAAAACGTCGCCGATTATTTCAGATATGCGCGCGGCCAAAATGATACGCGCTTCCGGAACAAAGCCGCGCGCGTTGCGCGTCCCACGTCGAAGCGGCTTCGGGGCTAACTGGCTCGCCCCGGGAAAACGTTGCGGGCGGAAATGGGAGCAGGCCGTGTGTCGTTCTTCCTGTGATACTCCACCGTGAAATAACACGGAAATTTACGACGGGCCAGAAATTCTCCCCGAATCCGCTCGACTCTCGCTGGCGCGGCGCGGCGCGGCGCGGCGGACGAGTGCGTATTTGTAATGTCCTGTTACGAAGGTACCGCGTGCGCGCGCTCGAGACAAAGGATCCGTTGCTCTTGACAGAGGAATAATCGAGTGGTCCTCGACGCGGCGTCGTCTCGCATCCTCGGGCGCCGATATTAAAGTAATGCGAGTCCAGGCGGGTCGATAATTTCGGGTGAATCGACGGCGAGCGCTTTTTCGTGAATTTTCGCGCCGATCGGACGGGACGATGCAAATTTTCGGGGAGGAAAAAGGATACTCTCTCTCTCGCATTCCCCTCCGAGCCGGCGGCACCCTTGAATGTGTCGCTTTTCTCGGCCCTCCTTCGGCAAAGTAATTCGAGACGAGAGACTTCTCCGGCCGGGACACGGGAAATGTTTCTCCTGTACGTCGACCGGTTCCCCCTTCGTCCCACGAAATTGGAGAGGCACGAGAGGAGAGAACGCGTGGTCCCTGGACGATCGGAGGACCGCTAATGTATCTCGCAGCACGCGACGCTGGAAACTCGGAAGTCGACGCGGACTGATCGAACGGGGAAGATAAGGGGAGACAACGGGAGGGAGGGAGGGAGAGAGAGAGAGAGAGAGAGAGTGAAAGAGATGGGGGAGCGAGAGAGGTCCTGGTAGGGCGCAGGAAAACGGATTTGTCAACACATGTACCTGCGCCGGCATCGCTCGGATGAAGGAGAGAGAGAGAGAGAGAGAGATGAGGAGGTTGATTTTGCTTACGTAAGAATCTCTTGCCGGGCTTTTTCCGAGCAGCACTTTGGGCGAAACCGCCCGAGGGCCGAGCGGAGGGCAAATCGGTTATTTGAAGAAACGCCGAAATATTTGTTCTCCCGAGATTTCAATGATTTCATGCGTCGGCGAGGAACCGAGATAGACGGATGAATAATTCAAAGCAGATAGACGGCGATAACTCGCGATACACTGAATCTGCTGCTTTTTCGCGGCGAGTCCGCCGCGGAGAAACAAGGTGCGCATGTGTCGAAAGGGG